GGGGGGGTGAGCTTTAAATGAAAGTTTAATTGGATTATTGTAGTTTAATTTTATATCCATGTGACAAATATTTATTTATTAATTTTTGTATTTGCCTTGTTTTAAAATTATATTGGTATCATGGTATTGTTAGCTACCCTGAGCCCCTATGGAAATAAATGTGGGATAGAAACAAAGTTAATAAATAAATATAAAAGGTATTTTCTTAGGTAAAATGAATTTTAATTAATAGTTTTTTTCACTTTAAAGATTTTTTCACTTTCCACTTATGTGGGATTCCTGCACTTCAACCCCAGCAAATGGGGATGGCAGTCTTACATATAAACCTATATATTGCCCAAATCTTCAAATACACTGAGGAATAATTGCACAAGGATCTGACACAACAATATTATACCCGTGATCTGGTTCCTGTGAAAACAATACTTATACTCACGTGGTGGTGTATGTTTGGTAGGAAGAGTAGGCTTCTTTGTTGGCTCTGCTGTATAAAACACATACACAAACGTTAATATACACTACAGCAACCAGTGCCATTCTCCCCTCCTTTGTGCCAGTTTCACCATTAAAAAGCAAGAAAAGCCGCCTTACCAAGGCTCGACACTTCTCAGTACTCCATAACACATTTATACAATGCAACAGAGCTCTGGTGGAAGAATTCCCCTTCTCTTCTATAGAACTCATACTTCACCACACTAGAGAATGAATCCACTTTAAATCCGGTTTCTGCCTCTTGCAGAATTCTGAGGTTTGTACTTTGGGAGGAGCATTTAACAGCCTCACTAAACTACAAAACTCAGAATTCTGCAGGAGGCAGAAACCAGATTTGAAGTGAATTCACTCTCTAGTGTGGTGAAGTGGTAAACATAAATGCACCATGGAGCACAGAGAAGCATCCAGTTGTCTGCACATTTAGGCTAGTGCAGAAGTTCCCTAAGTAAGCAGCAAGCAGGCCATTCAACACTTCATTCATTAGTCAACAATAATAACCCAAGCTTGGAAATGTTACACTTTCTGAACTACAATCCTTCAGCAAGAACACTAGAGTTAACTAAAAATAATACTTTTCAAAGGTCAGGCAAGAGCAGGATTTGTTAAATCCCTTAAAAACTAATTGCTTATTACACATAAAAGAAAACAAATCAAGTCAAAATGAGCTTACACTACTATCTTATTTTCTAGCATTTGGTTGCCTAAGCAGGCCAGTTTCCAAGTAGTCTGGGAGGACCCAATGGATTGGTGTGTTGAAGCTAAGCATATGTAGACCTGATTGATATCTAGAAATGAGATTATCATATAAGTCTTTTTTTATTTCTAAAATAAGATTGTGGTACTCCTGCATTTCTTGCATCTCTTTTATTTCAAATAATTCAAATCATAACTATGTTGTTCCCTTTTGTTATATAATTATTTTGTTCCAAAAAATAGTAAAAAGTTTTAACATTGAATAAGCACTTTCGTCTTGACTGATCACACTAAACAGACTATGAACACAGAAGTTTAAGATGGGCTATAAACTAAAATCCACAGTGTTCCGTCTTCCAGGAGCTTGGTTTGCATTGCCCCTTAGTTGCATAAAATAGCATCCCTTTGCATTTCCCCCCAGGATTGCTACAGTCGCAGCAGCACCCTGAAAGTTAAACATTAACAGAGGCTGGAAGCCAATCTGCAAGCCTCTTGCTGTTATTGGTTTTAAAAAGTATCCTTTTGGTCTAGAGACCGCCCTTTTTCCTGGGGATGAGATCTCCATTTTGGAGAAGCTCTCCTGCCTTTTTTAGTATAGAAAAAGCCTCAGATGTGCTGGTGGCCAAGCCAGGCAGCTCGGACAGGCCATTGTAAGTACGGTTACCCTCTTGCCTTTGAAACTGGTGCTGAGCTTAGATAGGGGAAGACCTGCTCTTTCTAAAGGATAGTAGCTCAGTGCTGGGGCAGGGAAATATCTCAGGATTTCTCTGCCATTGGGAGAGGCTCCATTACTTCATCTCCAAAACTAATCTTGAGCTTGGATAGGGGAAGACCTGCTCTTTCTGAAAGATAGCAGCTCAAGGTTAGGGTAAAAGATCCCAGGATTTTTCTACCATTGAGGGAAAGTTAACTCGGCAACTGAAGGAAAAGGGAAAGAAAGAGCATCTATTTGGTTTCCTAAATTGACTGTTTGTGTTTGTAACTTCATCAAGCTGTGCCAAGTCTGTCAAGGACTTTGAGAAATAAATGTTCTGTTTGATGTTCACATCTGGACTGGCCTCAGTTGCTGAGAATCCTGAGCTTCTAAGTAAGGCACTCGCAGTTCACCCGGATAAAGAGAGAAGCACATCTTAGTTTTAACTTTATAGTGTCTGGGTGTGACACTTAGAAATATTGCCTAAATAACCCACTGTAAGACATTTGCGTATATTTAATAAGAGTATAATTACATACCAACATCTGAAAGTGCATCTTCCAAGTTGAAGTCTTGTCCTAGCCAAATAAATAATATTTATGATTAATTTGAATATATTAATATATATTAATTTGAATACATTGTTAATGTGAATACACGCTTTTTAAAAAATGGGGATCATGCCAATGACACTTACCACAAAGGGCAATCTGTAATGATCTTCCTTTTTGCATATCAAAAGACTAAATTATTGTTAGAAAAAAATAAAATGGGTATTCACAATGAAGTTATTCCCCTTTCCCTCCCCACATCTTGGTTGGATGTTAAAATAGCCTCTCAAATTCATTTGTCATCTGCAATGCATTCAGTTTTCCAGGTCTTTCTGTATTGTAACTCTCAGCATTCGTGACTATGTTGCCAAAATATGCTGGGAATTCACCAACAGCAGGGGGGTGGACAATTCTCACTTTTGCTGTAAAAGAACTCAAAATCCATTGGGTAAGAAAAGTCAGAAAAGTTACACATTCCTCCAATATCCAATAGGCTGGAAAGTCTTTTGCTGTCTTACCATTGGAAGCAACTCTGTTGATGGGAATACAAGTATGACTCACTTCAGAACAGACAGCTTGCAACAACATGAGTCATCTTATACTGTGCAGAAATTTGTGGGCATCATTCTTCTCGGTCAGGCCAAACTCTGACAGGATGTTTACCCTTGCTGCCAAGCAGCCCTTTATAATTAGCTCTGCAGCAACATTCCGTGAAGTCAGGAACACTCAGCGCTGCTTTGCAGTTGCCAGGTTATGTGGGCCTCTTTCGGAGTATTCCTCAAACTAGAAAAGTAGTTCAGACTTTTATCTTTGGGAAAATCCTTCCACCATTTCTATAATTCACTGGACCAAGAATGTGAAACCATGCTGGACAAAGTTCAAGAATCCAAGGACCACGTTGGGGGCTGCAAGACCTAAAGAGGGCCACACTAAGCCTACAGAACTGGAGGAAAGGCCACAGACAAGAGGTTAAAATTCACTTGTAAAAAATCCTATTGCGGAGTTGGGGCAAAACAAGTAGTGTTTGAAAGCAACTTGTTTTAAAGTCAAAACTGCTGCTCTGAGAAACTTCCATGAGTAGAAACATTTTTGGCAAAAGAACTTTTTTTTTTGGGGGGGGGGGGTCAGGAAAGCCTATTACTCCTCCGTCATCCTATTTTTTGAGTTAATTTTAAAAAGTTCCAGAATTCTCACTCCTCCCACCTTTCTATTTCATCCTCAATGTAGTTCAGTTGTTGCAAAGTGACTTCAAAGTGTGCAATGTAGTTTGCACTCAACTCATCAGAGGAAGAAGAGGAGAGAAGGGTGCATGAACTTGCACTTTGCATTAGGCTCAGGCAAGAGCAAAGTGCTGCAGGCTCTTGGCTTCTGTGTCCTTTCTCATAAATAATTTTTGCCACCTTGACCCAACTTTGATGTTGCCTAGCCACACGTGTCCTAGTTTTCATTTGCAAAATGTTGGACAGTATAAGATTCAAGAGCTGTAAGAAAGGAATGGGTTTATAGGAATATGCAAACTATAGACCACAGGAATCCCACCTATGCTACAGAGTAAATAGCTACAATCATCAATTGCTTCTAAATTCAACTTGCAGCCTCTACTACTTCACTTTCTCTCTCTTTTTCTAGTCTACTTTTCAGTCCGTTAGCTGTAACCACAGGGGAAAAAAAATCTCCACTATTTCCTCCTACTGTCTCTTACAATGCTTCAATCACAGCCTTTCAGCCCCTTTTTCAAAAAATAGAGGAGAACAATAGTGGCAATTGTCTAACTATTCATTTTATTTTCTTTTTTTTTCCAAACCTCACATGAATTCCTGGTCTTCTAAATGATGAGCAACTTCATTATAGTTCCTTTCTTTTCCTACTGAATATCTCAAGTGTAACTAATCAGAGAAATATTGAAACAGATTTTTCAAAGTGTAATAAAATGTAATTAACAGGAACAACATATGGTAGGGTTTTCCATATTCTCTAAATTTTAGCAGAAATAGCCTTATACAGCACAAGCAACATGAATACGGTATGGCACTGTAATTTCTGACAGGCTTAGGTTTATGATTACCTGAGAATTGGTTCTGTATTAGTAGCAGAGTGACAGATCCATGTCCCAGACTGATCTATTCATTGGAAGAGACCCATGTGGTTTATGCGACTGAAGCCACCTTTCCAAGTTATAAGTACCCAACTGGCAACCAATATCATCCATTAAATAAAGAAATAGTTTTCTAGGATCTACAGAGATGCTCGCAGGAACACCTCAGCAAATGAGAGTCCAAAAGTGGCAAGCAAAACCCCGGAACTTCAAGCCATGGCTGATACCAAATGAGAGCCTTCCCCGCTGGGCACACAGAAGACTAGATGACTTGAAAGGCACTGTACAGACTATTGTTGAAGGCTTTCATGGCCGGAATCACAGAGAGGAGGAAACCATGAAAATGAACAAAATCTGGCTACCAGTATTAAAAAACTCTAAAATTACAACAGCAAAACAACAGAGAGGAAACAATCAGGGACAGCTAATCACCTCTCAACAAAAGATTCCCTCAGGCACTAGCAAGCCACACCAAAAAACTGCCAGGCCATCAAATGCTAATCAAGGTGGTCAGTTGAAACATTCACACCTAGCTCCAGCAGACAAGGGTACTTTGTCCCTCCCTGGTCATTCCACAGATATATAAACCCATTTTCCTTGTTCCAACAGACCTCACTACCTCTGAGGATGCTTGCCATTCATGCAGGTGAAACGTCAGGAGAGAATGCCTCTAGAACATGACCATATAGTCCGAAAAAAATCTACAACAACCCACTGTACAGACTGCGTGCTGGCACCACAAGATGCAGAGCCAACCTTAAGAAATGAGGCCACAAATTGGAGACCACAACATGCGAGTGTGGAGAAGAGCAAACCACAGACCACCTATTACAATGCAGTCTGAGCCCTGCGACATGCGCAATGGAGGACTTCCTTATAGCAACACCAGAGGCACTCCAAGTGACCAGCTACTGATCAAAGGACATTTAATATAATGCCAAGTTTTTAAACTTTGTGTTTTTAAATACATTACAACTGTACCTTTGGCTTGCTTCTAATACAATAAATAAATAAATCATCCATTCAGAACAAGAATGGGGATCCTGCACCCTGTCAGATGGTGTTGGACAAAACAAAATGAAAAAGAACACGAATACTGCTTCAAACTTTATGAAGAACTCTGTAGAAGAAATTAATGTGTTGACTCCTATAGCTACACATATGGTTTTTTTGGCCTTGTATCAGAACTATGATAAATCCACTGTATGAGACTAATGGGGCCTTTTATAAATTCTTGTCTCATACTTCCCAGAATAGGATTTATATGACCAACTAGAAATATTTATTTATTTATTTACACCATTTCTACCCTGCCCTTCTCACAGCATCCATCACCATTGGCTAAGCTAATCAGGGATGCTGGGTGGTTTAAAACATCTGAAAGATAACACATTCCTAAAGATATATAATGCAGGGTAAAGGTATACAATCAATCAGTAATCTCCTTGTAACACTTCCTCAAAACCACTGTTTTAAGGGATGGAACAATTCTGGGCTGCTTTTTGTTTGTTTGTTTGTTTGTTTGTTTGTTTTTGGAGGGGGCATCAGTTGGACTCTTGACCTTGGCATCAGTTATCTGTTAGGGGAATTGTGTTATTGTAATTGGACCCTGAAAGACTTAAGACTTTGGTTTTCTTTATAAATGAAATATGGTATTTGGATTATGTTGCTTGTGTTTAATTAAGCATCGGCCCTGATATGGACACTGAGACCGTGGCATAAAACAATCCAGAATATTTGAATTATGTTGTGTAAGGGAAGTTCCTTGATTGGTAGAGACTGGAAGGTTAACTGGTAGTTTCTCTTTTCTTGGAGAAATAAACCATAGATCATGGCAATGCACACTCTGCCCAAATAAGGCTGCAAAGAAAGAGCACATGGTAAAAACAACAAGTAACACAGTGTTAGTGTTGAGTCCCTAAAGCTTCACAAGATAGTCCATAGTAGTTCTGTAATGCAGATAATTGACTAGAATCTGATTCACAACAACTCAGCTTTAGGATGGTGGTTGCATCGTGTGCCTTCATATCATGATTTAGGAATCTGACCCCTGTATTTGCATAATCTTGGCAAACAAAGTTTTGAGAACAGAAGATCGTGTTAAGATAGCATGTACTTCTAGCCTAAAGGCTGGTTACTGTGTAGCTTTAACTGAAAATAAAATAATAACTGTACTCTTCAAGACAAGGACTCAGGAAGGCAAACAATGCCCAATTAGCTTTGATGTAAGGAAGAAGAGAGGGAAATGCACAGAAGTATTTTAACCACCTTGAGTCTGCATGGGGAGAAATTCAGGGTATAAAAGAAAATAAAATACATATTTTTGAAAGTTGTTTTTATTTTAAGTTTTCCACCATTTATGACCAAGTGAACATTTATGACCAAGTGAACATTTATGACCAAGATAGATGCTATCTGACACATCCTGCACATTTAAAAAGTGGAGCTCGCCACTTTCTTCTTTAAAAAAAAAACAACCCAAACCTTACCAGCTGCATTCTCTGTATAATTTCAATTAAGTCTCAACTCCCCTGTATAAATAATTACTCATATAATGCACATATAACCACTATGAAAAAATGATGGCCTTTGCAAAGCAATAGCAATTACTTTGACAACAGAATGTATTTATATAATGCCAGATGTAGTGATGTCTGCCAGCTTTGAATAGGAATTATTATTATTAATTTAATAATGTATGGACATGAGGGCTGTGAAACGCTAACAGATAGGATGGCTATATATAACTTCCAGTATCATAGGGAGTATATTTCTATATTTCCAGGACTCCTTATGACTACTAAAATCCTTGGATGCTTAGCTCCCATTATACACAATGGCTACTAAAAATAGTGTCCCTTATATCAAATGGCAACACCAAGGGTTTTTGGGTGAGCTTTTCTTTTGTGGGGGGGGGGGGGGGGGGTTCAAG